TTCATATGTCATATGAAACCTTGAAGAGTCCCTTCTCTCCCTGATATTCCCGATAACTTTTTTTCTTTTAATTTGTGCTATATATATTTTATATACTTCATATGAAACCTTGAAGAGTCCCTTCTCTCCCTGATATTCCCGATAACTTTTTTTCTTTGATCATTTAATTTGTGCCATCTCAAGTTCACTTGCTCAGAGCAGGCCTGTTGCATACACACATACCAACCCCAAACGTTTGAATATGTATATTAAACATTAAATCATCTTACATCTATAACGCAATTATCTAATGTAATTTCTTCATTTTTAAAGTGTGACAAAAAACATTATGGAAATTCTGAGAACATACTGATCCGGAATGTGGGAATAAAAAAAAAATTGCTACACATTATAGACATTGTGTGCTTTTTAAAATATGCTGTGGTAATTCATCATGATGTCTGGTGTGGGACTCTATACACATCCTATATCTGACAACAGCATAAAGAACTTAAGCATGCTACATTTTTAGCATATCTTTACGTGATCCACTTGGACCTAAAGAGACAAAGGCTCACACAAGGATGCTGTTCAAATGGACAGTACATGTATTGTGCAGTGGCTGCTTGGCTACAAGACAACTATTCAGGCTATTCAGGGGTTGTATTCATGACTTTTCTGCCAGAACATATGAAGTTGGATGCTTGAGTAGCATTCCCTTGGGATAATTTTCCAAAAAATGCAACAGGTCTGCTCTGAGCAAGTGACCTTGAGATGACACAAAATAAATCATCAAATAAAAAAAGCTATCAGGGGAGAGAAGGGACTCATAGTCAATTGTGCATATGGTGTGTGCTAATACTGATCTATGGAGGCTTGACCATAACCACTCACTATAAGTAACAGTGCTATTGCAGAAATACAATCAGCCAGCCAGCCGTTTGGTTAGCCAATATTCTGGGTGGCAAATGAGTTTAAATGATTATACACACCTTGATTTTATTCAAATATAATGGTGCAGTTGAATTAGCTGTGAGTTCAGAAGAGACTATGAGAAGTGTTTCAGGCTTTAAACTTTCTTCACACTTGGAATTAACTAATTAATACACATGCATGGATGTATACCAGTCTCATGCTGAGCAAGCGCGTATGTAGACGGCCCAGGCCCTGAAAGACACGGGTACAGTGGAGCAGGAGTTCCTGCAGCTGGTTCTCGATGACCTGGGCATCACCCGGCTCGCTTCTTTGGATCAGCTCTTCTCCATGCTGAAGCAAATCGTTTAGTCGACCTGCACTCTCTCCAACTGCCTCTTGAAACCCCTGAGAGACAAATATACATAAAAACAATTAGCAATCATATACAATATACATCCTTCCTTGATATTACTTTTAAAGGTCAAGGCGATTTAATTCCATTCCTAGAGGCCACAACCTGGAGTGTTTAGTTCCAACCCTAATTGAACACATCAGAACCACCTAACAAAGGTCTTCAGAACTACTTGATTATTACTGGCAAGTGTGTTTTTCATTAGGGTTAGAACCATTAAAGTTCTGAGGATCAAACTTAGGACCATTAAAACGTCACAATGTAAAAGCTTATATAAAACATGTATTAAGTATAACATTATATATTATTATTATAAACTATTATAATCTGTTAATTATAATAAAATATTAATTTGACATTCAAATAATTAAATTTTTTATTATTGTATTACAAGTTGTTACAGTAAAATATAAATTAAAATATTCATGTATTTAACAAACTATATATTTTTAACTTAATACATTAATAATTTAATATATTTTTATAATATTTTCTCATTAATAATTAACAATAAAATTTAATTTAATTCTCGATTAATTGATCTCTATCTTTAATTGTTCATTTTAATTTATCATTATTACTTTTTGTATTTTAATTTGTTAAAGTAAAATATTAATTTAATTAATTCAATTGTTAATTGTATGAATGTATCTATGCGTTTATTTATGTAAAAAGTAAAATGTCTGGCCGCATATTAACAATGGATCCAATACAAACAAACTTTAATAGTCCTAAAAGTAAGCTTTATTTTCTTCATGCTAAATATATGAATTTTCTTTTTGCGTTAATTGTGACCTGGACATGTTTACATAAGACTAACCCAACTTGGCTTTTCTGGGATTTGTACCTGCAACTTAGGGGTTAAAGAACTGCACTTGTAACCAATAAAGGTGTGTGTGTGTGTGTGTGTTCAAATAGCAAGTGTCAAAACCTTTACCAAGTATAGTATCATTCCAATAAAGTAAAAAAATTTTAAAAATTTAAAAATTCTAAAAAAACAAAACATTAAAATTTTCCCAACAGCACAATAGGGTTAAAAGATGACACCTTTGAGCAGCTTGAGGGTCTTTATATACCTTCAACCTGCGGCACACTGTCTCCACAGTGTTGCTGAGCTGATCCCAGCGCTGTCCGCAGTCCTTCGTCATTTCTACGAGCCGCGCGCCCATAGCACCTCTGAACAGGCCGACCAGAGTTTGACAGAGTTTGGTCAGTCCGTCCAGCTGGGTTAAACGTATCCTGGCCTCAGCACGGAGGTTCTGGAAGGAGATACAAAAATAGACAGTGAGATCATGCGATTAAGAGGTAACTCCCTCCAAACTAAAAAAAAATATACATCCCACCGGTTCTCTGATTAGCTAAAGCAGGTTATTTTAAGAAAGTAGTGCGAGGGGTTAAGACGGAGGGAGGCGCAATGGTGCTTAGGAGGAGAGCCAAGGAGTTTGACGACCATTTGGTGTCATTTATCTTCACTGGCAAGGGTCCCGGGCTTCTAGACACTGAGTAAATGCACAGTCTGCGCATTTGTAAGTGTGTCTGTGTCGTTGATTACACTTTCATTGTAGAAAGCTTCAAAACGCTGGCTGGCATCCACTCGGCAACAGACACCTGTAATGACTAATTGGAGATGGTCTTGCTCTCATTTTATACAGTAACACAACTGCCAGAGTTTGGAGGTCATTTGTCTTTTGGCAACTCCGTTTTAGAGTTATCATCATCAGATTTAAACTAGAACATGGTCAGACTTGTGGCTTCAGCTCTACTGTGTTTTTAGGCCTCAACATGGCTAGTGTCATTTTTTTGTGTAAGGCATTAAATTGCTGATAACTTCAGCTTTTCTAATGATTTTTTACTTTAATTCTGACAATTGTGGTCAACAACCATCTAAAAGTCTTCTTTCAAAAAGAGACCACAAATATTTTTGGGGTTTGCATTCAGAACGGTTAAAAAAATTATTAAAAATACACAATTAATACATCCAAATCACTTGAATACTTTAATATTTTTCAAACCATTTTCCAAATAAAATGACTATATTTATAACAACTTGGCATGCATTTCAAAAATGCATTTTTGGCATGCATTTTTAAAAATTAAATTAAATTAAAAGTATTTTTTTTCTTTTCTTCATCATGGACAATATTATATGTCATAAATTAAACATCTAATAGCACTGAAGTTAGACCAAATCACTTGAATACTTTAATATTTTTCAAACCATTTTCCAAATAAAATGACTATATTTATAACAACTTGGCATGCATTTCAAAAATGCATTTTTGGCATGCATTTTTAAAAATGTTAGATTTTTAAGTATTTTTTTTCTTTTCTTCATCATGGACAATATTATATGTCATAAATTAAACATCTAATAGCATTGAAGTTAGACCAAACGTCTCATTACCTCATACTTTTGTAACTCCTCTTTTGCTGTAACATACAGCACATGGCTGGAATTCGGGGAAGCTGCTATTTTCTCAGCTGATCGAAGCCAGTCATCTAAACAGGAGAGTTCTTTCTTGAATTCATACCACAGCATCCACCTCTTCTCCAACCTGATGGACCAATGAGAAACAATTAGGTAGAACAATCTGTAAAGATCAGTTATACAGACAGGACGCCAATACTCATGGGCGTCTACTCACTTGACGCAGCCCTCGAGGGAGAAGGAAGCATCTTGGCTCAAGTCTCCAATGGACGACCACTCATCAGAGAGCTCATTCAAATCATCATGCAGTTGAGAGCTTCTCGTGGGAAAGCAGGTCTCAGAGGACTGTAGGTAGAGACCACTTTGGGGGTTCATATCGACACATGTTTGCTTCTCTTCTCTGTCTTCATCACTTCCTCTGGGGCCTACTCTGGTGTTTCCATGGTAACTGGCTTTGAGTGATGTCTCTTCTAACATCCTGGCATCACCAAGTGCCACCTGTTTACAAGAACACAAAGCGAGGCCAGCTCATTAGGCTCAAACACAACATGATGCGCAGACATATTGTGTCGCTGTTGTCAAAACTGAGCTCTTTTCAGTAATAGTCTTCCTTATGAGGAGGTAAATGCATTGTGGGATGTTTTCTTTTCAATGCATTAAAAAGAATTAATGTTATATATGGTAGTTGACATTAAATACTTTTGGGAAGCATCTAAAACTATTGCTATTTTGCATGCAGCTTCTATGCATGCAGCTTCTATGAGCAGATATTGATTGAGAAATTAAAAAACAAAATTTGTACTTTAAAAATACATTTGTCAGTTTTAAAACTAGACTAGTAAAGTGAAAAAGTTAAATTAGTGGTGACCAGTTAAACGGATTTAAGATTTTTTTAATGAATAAAATCTTGAAAAAAAAAAAAACACTAAGGAAAATAAAAAAAATCATGACAATCAAACAAATGATTTGAAATAAATACAAATAATATACATTTGTAAATTACTAAACTGCATAAATGTAAATAATCAAATAAATAAATTCATTAAAAATCATAAATTACAAAAAAATATTTTGATAAAATAAAAATTGTGAATACACATTTCATAAATACATTCATAAATAAAATCAATTAATCATAAATCAATCAAAAATCATAAATTAATAAAAATCATAAATGAGACCATAAATACTTTGACTCAACACAAGGTGTTAGGCTTAGGCCTATACAATCCATAGTTGACCAATGCAAATTAAGTCATGTGCCAATTTCCTTGAGAGTTTTCACCGTTGCATAGTTTTGTCCTTAAAAATCTCTCATCACAAAAGAATTTCACAATTCATTCACAGTGCATAGAAACTCACAACTGCAGTATTTGGTTAGAAAAGCTGTGGTTTCTCTGCATGACAAACACATTAAAACTTTCAGACACCTCAGTCATGAAGAAAAGGCGGTGCTCTGGGGTATAACTTCAGCCATCTAAAACCATAAATCAGTTTTATGCCCATTACCCAAAGGAGTTACGACGCTGCCGCCACAGCCCAGGCAGAAAAAAGCCAAATAGATTTTCCTCACTCTGATACCTGCATAATGTGGCTGACAGAGCAAGGTCGGCTATGCCAGGCCATGGCTGCTGTCAATCAAGACAAAAAGTGCCTTACGCTGACCTCACTGCTGACCTTACAACTAAAAACACTTTTTAGAAAACATTCAAGAAGAGCTTAAAAGCCTGCTTGAGTCTTGAAAGCGGCCCACGTTTGTATTTATGAATGGACTTGCTTTTGAAAAAAAATTACTTGGGGGAGAATGGTTCTTTCAAAACTTTAAGCCCGACCAGCTTATAACTTAAAGTTATACGTGCATTATTCACCCGCAACATTGCCGCCCACCACGGTCGCAGGTACACGCTGTCTTCAGGCTTAGCCGAAATGACTGTCATTTCTCAGGGTTCGCTGTGATTTTGCCCCAGTGGAGGGCATTAAGGTACTGGACTGAGTCTCAAAGCAGTCAGGTTGAAAATCGAAGTCACCGTTATTACTTTTCTCAACCTGCAGAGAATGTTGCTCTCGCCTGAGGGGTAATGGAGTGCAAACACGACTGCAATCCATACTCTGTTCCTAACCTTTTCAGAAGTGAACAAACTTATAGCAGGCTGCAGGCCATTTCCCATCTCATTGGCGAGCTTGTGTCTTGAGGAACAGGTGTGTACGTGTGACACCCAACAGGCGTGCAGTGACACAATGACTGGAAATGGGACGTTAAGAATCTGATTTCACCCTGATTTTCATCCTGTAGGCCTACAGTACTTCCCAGCCCAGATTAAGTTACATATCATAATGTTTCAACACAAAAACCAAACCATGGAGATGGTCATTCAAGCCCAACACGTGGTATAGGCGTGCAAGAAGTTCTCACTGGTGTAACCGGAACATAAATGTGACTATTTCGGTATCTAATCCAGTCAACTTGACTATGTTAATCATATACATATAATCCTGGAGGAAAGTCATAGATAAGCATCATGGTAAATTATTATAGAAAGCAGGATCAAAAAAAAGCATGAGATTACATTATTAATGCAAAATCAAAGTCAAATAAAATCATACAATTATCGAATAATTACATGAATAAAATACTATATAAGCATTCAATATATAAACTCATAAATACCATAGATTAATAAATAAATGTAAAAAATAAAATAAACAAATAATCATAAATAAAATCAATAAAAAATAAAAGGAAATGACTCAAATAAATAAATAAACAAAAAGGGTCAAGACAAATTAAATACATTCATTAATAATAAAAAAAATCACAGTTTTATGATTTTATTTGACTATCAAATAAATAGATAAATAAAATACAATATCATTATACATAAAATAAACTAATAACTAAATATATAAACCATAATTTAAAATGTTTCGTAAATACATTCATAAATATTCAAATAAAACGCAAGTGAAACAAAATTTAAATATAAAAAAACAAAAATACATAAAATACAATATAATAATAAAAAGTATTCTATACTATAACTAAACTACAAATAAATTAATAAATGCATACATACATGCATAAATAAAAAGTTCTCACAGGTGTGAAAGTAACAAAAATGTGCCCATTTTGGTATCAAGTCCGGTCACAGATAGCTTGACCATGGTAATTATATACGTGTAATCCTACAAGAAAGTCATGGACAAGGATCATAGTAATTTAATATAGACAGCAGCATCAGAAAGCAGGATGAGACACACAAGGATGTAAATGGCAGGCCGGATTACAGATGCTTAGTCATCCTATTCAGCTAGTGTCGATGGTTTGGCTAGAAACCGACGAGGCAGGTGCATCTGGGGACCTTTCCATAACACAGCCCACATTTGAATGAGCTAGAGCTGAATAAACACGCAAACTGCTGTCTGTGAGAGTGCCGGGGGACAAAAAAGCCCTTCCATTTAGGCGAAAGGTGACGTGGGATGAGTCTGCATGTGGAAGCAAATGAAAAGTAATGATGCATTCAGTACATCACTGAAGCTTGAATCACTCTCGGGCTTCTTATTCAGGTTTTATAGACCATTTTTCCAGCTCACATGACTCCTCAGTACAGGCACAAAACACCCTCACAGAAAATGAACGTCGCTCTTGGGAGAACATCGTTTTTCTTTCTTAATGGCGAATAAAGCGGCGCTTGTCTCCTTGGCGCTGAATAAACCTCACGGCAAACGGAGGTAATGTTACTCTTTCGGTGACCAATGACAATTACTTCGCTCTGTTTATGATAAGCCGGGGAAAGGTCACAACACTCTAAAAGCTTAGACTGTTGTTGTTTTCATCCGAAGCAGTAAACAGCCAATCTCTTGCCAAGCTCAGGGCTCGTACTGAATCTCATCCCACACGCCGCCAAGCAAAAAGTATAACCGACAATTTCAGCCCACATTCTATTGATTAATTTAAGGTGGAGGACAAAAATGAGTTTAACAGCGTGTCTAATGACTCTAATCAATCACATTGCTGAAAAAAACATCACTGAAAAGCTCTATAGTAAATACTAATTAAACTCATGAACCTACATTTGAGACGTAAATTGCTACAATAACAAACTGGGAACTAAGACCACAAAATAGTAAGGAAATAAAAGATAAAGCTGTTCAGTGTAATTTATATCAGTAGTTATAAACTGCTGGGTGGTGAGAAATAAATAAATAAATAAAAGCTAAACACAAATAAAATGCAACTACCTAACCATACATTTAGGGATAGATAGGACTGCTCAATTCTTATCTATGTAAAAAAAAGTCCTATATATTTTGTTGTTGACCAAGGCCTAGTTTTTGGTGTAAATTCAGTCACATGGCGATATGAAAAATACTAATACTAATAATCTGGCCCAGTATTTGATCCATGTGTTAGGATGGTAAAAAAATAAGTTAATAAACTATTAATAAGAAATTATAATACCAACAACACATAAATAAATACACTGAAAATAATAATAAAAAACTAATATACACAATAATAATAATAATAATAATAAAGAAATGAATAAAACATCTACATAAAATAACAATAATAATAAAGGAAACATACTTCTACTTTGATAATAATAATTAAATGAATGCATAAAACATATCTATATAAAATCACTAACCATTAATATGAATATGAATGAAACATATCTACTGTTAAGTAGATACATCAACAACAACAACAAAAAAGAATAAAACATCTGTATAAAAATGACATATATGTATATATATTATATATATAATAATACCTTTTTTAACTTTAATAATAATAATAATAGTAATAATAATAATAAAATGAATAAACAACTATATAAAAAATATAAAGCATTTTCTATATAAAAGTAACAAGAACAACAACGCAACTGCAAAATGCATGTTAATAATTTAGCATATTTGGCTTATGTAGCTCATGATAAAATATTGTTTTCTTTTTTTTATTTTAAGTTTTAAAAATTTATGTACAATAACCAAATGTAGAATTGTGATGCCACTTACTGTCCAACATAAAACCTTAGTCCTCAAGCAAAACCAGTGGAGAACCAGTGGTTTATATGATGAACACCACAAACTTGCACAATTTTAACACTGTTTGCTCAGTGTGAGTCACAAAACTATGACAAGCTAACATAGTTCTGCTTGATCGAGCCAACCTGTTCAGAAAATGTATTTTTAATCGAAAACGTGTGAACACACTCCCGGTGAGGTGACAGCTAGTGTTCCACCCACTCCCGTCTGGGCCGTCCCATGGAGGTGGCCTGAGGCACATCTGTGTTTCCGGTGATGGGTGCTCATGAAGACGGAGGAGATAAGGACCCTGGTGTTCCACACCCCCTGATCCCGAACCCTCAGCTCTCCCTCCCTGTCCTTACAAAGACTGCACTCATTGTCTCTTTGGTGCCACAGGCCCAAATCGCAAACAAACAGGCCTTTCTCAGCACCCGGATAGGGAGAAGAGGCCAGTGCCAGGACACCTGATCTGATCCACTACACACACACAAAGCAAGAGATGAACTGGGCCCCCCTCCTCTCCTCGGCCCCTCGAGACCAAGCTGTGCAGAAGGGCAAAAGAGCAGCGTTACAGCAAACTCGCTCTGGGTCCTGTGAATTAGTTCATTACATCTAATTTGCCATTAAACAGAAAATGTGTCTCAATTTAAGTCTGACCATGGCCTTAATAGTCCTAATAGGAGCTGAATGCTCTCAGAGAAATTGTCAGTATGTGATTCAAGTAGCTAGATCAGCCTTCAAATCCAATCCAGGCTTCTTCTAATCCCATTTACACCACTCGCAATCTGGTGAGAATCCTCAAACCGCATCCTCTTGGAACTGCCTTCATTTCCCATGCTTAAAACGACACCGTTCCAAAAACAACAGATGACAAAGAAGATCTGCTGCTTTGTGACAATATCAAAGGTATAACGAGCACGTCATCCATTAATTGCAGCATATAGCTAAAGGCAAGCCACTCTTGTTAAGAAGATGAATTTTGCTTCTCCACATGAACACGTCATAGCTTGAGATGGAAATAATTGTTCTCTCAGCTGTGATTCCCCAGCTAGCAGACGCCTGACAGGTGTTGTGCTCAGGGAGAATAACGCAGACTCATTCACCTGATGACTGAGGATTCATTCAAGGACAAAAAGCAAGTTTTACACAGCAGAATGTCTGTTTGACACATCACTGTTGTAGCCTGAAGCAAGGCCATTCTCTCAGGAGAAAGATAAAGACAGAATGGATCTCTCTAATCGATTCAAAGGGAACAGAAAAAATAAAAAGAAAGAACAACAATTAACAAAAACAATTTACTTAAAGACACAAACACACACACACAGTAACATAATAATAATAATTTTTAATTAACATATGCATTATAAATAATATATTGTAATATTTATTAATAATGAATGTATAATTAATGTTTATTTAATTATAAATATAATATATGTTTTATTTGTATAGTTTATTTATATATTACAATTTTATCATATACACATTTATAATATATATATATATATATATATATATATATATATAT